CCAGTAGAGTCTCATAATTTATGGGGTTCTACTTCAGCCTATTTAGGTTCTGCATTTAGTCGCAAGTAATTCTTTCTACGTATCTAATCTAAATTCAGTTCAAAAATTTCAACCAATATCAAATAGTAACAATTTGCATAGTTTATATCCGAATTTGTTAAAATAAAAAATTTAATTAAAAAAAATACAACACAATCCATATGACTAAATTAGAATTAAGTTTTTGGGACATATCTATATAATAAAACAGTTAGGTGTTTGAAATTTTATCTCATACATATTTTCACCCCAAAACCATTCTATCACCCATTTATATCATATGTTTAATTATTTAATATTTGATTAATTTGTAGTTTAATGTAATTTTTATTTTAGACATTATTTATATACGATAATATACACACGTTGAGAAAATTTGTCAAATTAGGTATTTTTGTCGATATTTTTTTAAAAAAATATTGGATAAAAATAAATTTTAAATGATATAATCAAATAAATGAAGGAAATAAAAATTATTATTTAATATAGTGAGATCGATTTTTTAGACTCTCAAATTTTATATTTTATCGTATCTTCAGGCATGAATTATGAATAGTATATTAATATACATGATAAGACATTAGTATGTCCAAATCATAATCTATAAAATATAAAATTACATATTTCAATTCAAAATAGGAGAATTGATTAAAATTATAACAGTCTCTATCTGACTAATCGAATCTAATTTAGATTTGAACCAGAATACAATCCTTTCTCACGCAAATCTCTCCCAAGCCAGATAAAGGCAAGAAGAAATCTCATGTTTCTAAACGACTCCATATGAACTTCACATTAGTTGCATGACACTGGTACTGAAACTTTTTTTTCCCGTTATTATACCTTCAAATAATTTTAGATTAAAAAAATATTTTTCGATGCCGTAGTTGAACCATACATTAGTTTGGCTAGTTGTCACCTTGGTTGGGTAAGTCAAATTCAAATTGGCTTGAACTTACAATATCCACCGATAGTCTTATTAACACCTTTCTTTCCCAAAAAGCACCAAGAAGTTTGACACTTCAAGCTCTAAGAGTGAAGTATCCCTAAATGGGTTTATCTTTGTGGTGTAACTAAAGATGACATGGAATTGGTATGAAAAGAGGGAAGACTTGGGCTAAGGGAAATACAAATTGAATTTTTTTAATTTTTTTTACACAAAAGTTCAAGCTTTTGATCGACTACGCTTCTTGAGGCCATTAGGGCCTTAGAGTTTTTCACCAAACTCGTGGACTTAAAAATCTTTTAAAAAAGAAAAAACTTAAACAATTTCAAACTTATTTTTAAGGCGTGAGGTCAAGTTCAAATAAACTTTTTTGACATGTAATTCAAACTACTTTTTCTTTTTTTTTTTGCATGACAACAATATTACTCCGACTTTGTATCTTGCACTTTGCCCAATCGAAGCTGAACGAGAGTCATTCCCCCCCCCCCCCCAAACACGACCACTACCATCGATAGTGAACTAAAAAATTCATCTCTTTTTCCATCTACAATATATAACAAAATATATATTCATGTAAAGAGAGAGTGATTGTTTTTAGTTTAATGTTTAAGAGCAACTCCAACGGGAGTTGCCATCAGGAGTGACATCCCCATAATCGCTAAAATGACACCCTAACTTCAAAAATTCGAACTCGAATGGAGGTGGTATCAGAGGTGACAAAATGACATCAAGGACTTTGAGGTGACATATTTGGCAACTTTGGAGAGAGAATTGAGAGGTTGTAAAAGAGCCGTTGTGTTTACTGTTCCTCTCAACGACTATATTCAATCCAAAAATTTTATAAAAATATAGAGAGAGAAAAGAGGAAGGAGACTTGCCTGAAAATCCAATTTTGTATATAGCTCCCAGAAAATCGCTTCCCTGAATCCTTACCTTTGATATCGAAAGCCCTAGCTTCCCTGAACCCTTGCCGTTGGTGTACTACTCCCTAAAATTGTTGGTCAACTACTCCCTATCAATTTGTTGGTGTATTGGTCCCTAAAACTGTTGCCGTTGTAAGTTGCAGAGGACGCAGGGGAAGGGGAAGCAGAAGATCTGAGGAAGGGGAAAGGGTAGGAAGCGTTTTATTTAGGGGAAGGGGCAGACGTTGTAATTTATAATTATATCTGTCACCCCTATTCTTGTTTTAATTTATAATTAGTAATTTAAATTTATAATTTATAAATTGTTTATAATTTATGGCATATTTATTTGTTTTAATTAAAGGTAATTTTATTTATTTTTTAATTGATTATTTTATGTTCATTCTTTAAATTAATTATAAAATATATTAAAATATTATTTTGGCACCCCATTTTGACACCTATCATTGGAGCAGATTTATAATTCAGGGGTGCCAAAACACTGTTCAAGGTTGTAAAATGACATTTGACACCCCAAAAATGACAATTCTCCTTGGAGTTGCTCTAAGTTCATTGTCTTAAGTTCATTATCTTTGGTTCACAAAATCAAACTGCTAAGATCATCCAAAATTCACCAATCTAAACAAAGATCTTTCAAAAATTTCATAAAACACAATCAAATCTCATCTAAATTTTACGTATCAAACAATCGATTCACAAAAAGAGAGAGTTTTTAGTTCATTGTCGTGGCGAATGGTGGTTGCGTGGTGGGATGATGATGGTGGTGATAATAAATATAATAATAAAATATGGTAGAAGTTTTTAAATAATCCCTTCGTTAAGAGTTTTTTTTTTTTTTTTTTTTTTGCACATTTTATGAACATTTTGCCTTAAAAGTGCATTGAAAAAGAAATAGTTTCAGGTGAGGATAACAAATAAAATTGCTTCGGGAAAGCAAACCCAAAACCAACAGCGTTCCTTAAATCTCCTACTGTCTACACGGCTTCACACAATCAGGAAATCTGAAAAGAAGTCCATGTTAACGTATCAAAAAAGTTCTCTCTCTCTCTCTCAAAAAGGCCATGTTAAAAAGGTCAGTTTGGAAGGAAAGATTCCGAGACAATTAAGTTAGAATTGGTAATGGATCTCAATATTTGTTGAGATTCATAATAAATTTAATTAATAAATTATGTTAATAAATTAAATTATAATTACAGTATTGTAATTGTAATGTATGTAGCTGTCGTGCCCTTATCCAAACCTCACTTTTATATCACTAGGGTTACTAGGGTTACGCACGCACCGTACCCATATGTAGATAGTAATAAAGAAAAAGAATAAAAGAAAATAAATTTATTCGACAGTTACTAACATTCCTTTCAAAATTATTCACATTATACCATGTTTTCAGATATGGGGTACCTCTAGTATATATAATTATAATATAATATAATACAGTATATACTTCAATAAGTTCATCTGACGGTCGCAAATAGACTCATTCAAAAGTCACTGACATTTTTCTCAAAATCATTTACATTGTACCGTACTTTCATGCACGGATTATCTCTAGTATGATCTCTAACCTACTAATTACTACACTAAATAAATATGAATTTAATGGGTATTAGTGCATTGATTTATAACTTCTACTCGTTGATATACTAATTTTAATATTGTATCTGATGGTGATTATGTTTGAGGGCCTATAAAAAGAGGGAATGACTACGTTGATAAATATACAAGTTGAAAAGATTTATTCTCTAATATTTTTATATTCTTTTGTCTCTTAACAATTATATTCTCTATATATATATTTTTTTGGCACACTTCAAATTCAAACTTTACTCAATAGTCGTGGGATTCTCAAACGTAATATCCCAACAAACCTCTCATGTGTGAACCCATAGCAGATTGATAGAGTTGACCATATGGGTTCTTGTCTGAGTTGCTGCTACGGCATTTAGAGATTTTCACCAATCTTTGCATGATAAATAATTGATATTTATCCGACCCGATCTTCATTTGGGTAAAGACTGGTACCATTTTGTTTTTCATAACGTACACCCCATTGTTATGGTTTAGATTCAACAAGTACATCAAGTTAAGGAAATGTTTTTTTTTTCTGATTCATTCATCCTTGATTCAACCCTCATTTCTTATTTGTTTTTTTGGGTACGTAAGTAATTCCGTTAACTAAAAAAGAGTACATTTATACAACATATTGTACGATACAAACAAAAGAGCCGTGAGAATCCAGTGTTTCTCATTTCTTTTTTATTGCAATCCACTCTTGGTTGTCTTCCAAGATTCAATTCAGCTTCTCGCCAGCTTTAAGATCTGAAATAAGCACAAGGAAACAAAAATTAAGCTTCGCAGATGGAGAACTCAAGCATGAGCACAGATGATCCACCCCCCCCCCCCCTTCTCTCGGTTCAACGGACCAAAATGTCCGGACTAACTTATATACACATTAACTAATCCTCTCTTTAATTCGGTTAAAAATAAATCATTCACACTGAGACTACATTGAGACTAAATGTTATCAAAATTCGAACTTAAAGACCTCCCTTGAGTTATCCCTTCGGGTTCTCTCTCTCTCTCCCTCACACACACACACACACACACACACAAAATATAATCAGTCATAGTGATCTATTACTATTACAAAGGGATACTATTATTTTTCCCCATATTAACCATTTATAATTCTTTATCAACTATACTCAACTACCTTTATAATAATTTAAGTTTTTTTGTTTGAGAGGGTTTGGAAAGGTGAGTTTAAGTAAAATAATCCAATAGACCACTTAATTCCATGTTTGATAAAGACTTTTGAATCCGAGATTAAGATCCCGGCTTGGAAGGTTAAATCTATGAATATGAATTTTAAAAAACCCAGGGGGTGGGTTTGAAATTAACCAACACAGGATAAAATGGTGAAAAAAACTTGTCTATTCTAAATTTACCCAATTACAAATGATATTAAAAAGGAGAATAATATTATTTAGATATAATTTAATGACTTAATTATTATAGTCCTGAATTGAATGCAGGCGCCGTTAAAAATTGGGATTTAATGTTAATCTAACACTTATAATAGACTATGATAATAAATTATATTAACAAATTAAATTAAAATAATATTATTCGATATAAAAATGAAGCTCAAACCCTCTTTTTTTTGGCTTTATGGGAGTCGTCATTATCATACATGAAAGGGAGTCAAAAGTTTTGCAGGTGGGTTTATACCTGGACCGCATCTTATCTGGCATTTCAGGTTACAACGCGACTCAAGCCTTGCTGAAAGAACGGTTGAAAAATGAAATAAAGTCAAAATATAATCAACAATTTCAAAAACAAAAAGTCTCACCAAGAACGATAACCAAAATCATTGGACAAATTGCACTTTGACCCTACAAGATTTTAAATTTTTTACTTTGTGTCCTTAAAGATTAAGTTTCTCATAGTATATCCTCGATATATCAAAAGTGTAATAATATAACCCTTCTATTACCTTCTGTTAGTTTTTTCGTCGGAGTGAGTTTTGAAGGAAAAAATAATGAAAGCCAACAGAAGGATTATATTGTAACACTTTTAATACATTAAAAGTAGAATATAAAAAAGTTAATCTTTAAAGATATAAAACCTAAATCTTAAAAATTTTTAGGGTGTAAAGTGCAATTTCCCCCAAAATAATTCATAAATCAAACCTATCATGGAATTGAGATTTTCATTTTATGCAAGAAACAAACTTAATAACTGCAAAATTACTCAACATAAAGCAGATTTATCGCTTAAAAAAACACAATAATAATTCAGATCGTTTAGATCTAATGACTTATCTTATAACTTCGATCGTAACCTTTTAACTATAATAATTATTTTTATTTATTATTTAGCCTTTTAAGCATAATAAATATATTAACTACTACTCACTTATATTTTAACCTGGCTAAAAAACACTTATTTCGCACAAGTTCACTCTAATTACAACACCAACATGCTACAAAGTTAAAGAATTTGGCTCTCCCTATCTGTTTCGCAAATAAGTCTATCCGACAATAAACAAACCCTGCGAGGGTGAAGCTAATTAAAAAAAAAATAAACAATATATACTTTTATATATTAATAATACATGATTTGTATATTAAATAATTTGTTAAATATAAATATAAATTAAATATTTTTTTGATATATATGCTATTAAGATCTGACGCAAACTCATTTAACTCCGTGCAATTAAGCGGCGCAACTGTAAGTGAAAAAATTAGAAGAGCGAAAGGACTCACGGTCTCGATTAACGCAGCCAGTGGAACAAGCGTCGTCGCAGTCGTAAGCCGAAGAATCAATGACCTCCATGTTCGACGATATTACAAAGAGAACCAGAGCTAAAGCTATCACCATCTTCTTCTCCATCATCCTCAATCGGCTTTGCTCTTCTCTCTCTCTCTGTCTCTTCTTCACCAGATTTTTCAGTTGTTGATTTGGTTGAGTTTGGGTTGGTCTCTTCTTATCGTATGGACGTCTTTAAGTAAAATAGCCCATTCTTTTTCGGAATATTTACCATGTTGCCATGGTGGGGACACTCTCATCCTTACTATTTTGACCTTTTTTGGCTTTCAAAATGTCTTTGACTCTCCAGTTTTCAGTCAAACATCGCTGCGGCCTTCTCTGTATTGAGGTCCAGCTTCATACCCGCCAAAAAAATATTCGGTGGTTATGATTTTGTCAACAAATCGAGTTTTGATCGATTTTTGATTAAATGATAGTCTAGTTAATATAATTTTTGTGGTTTGTATTGGAACTTGTTAATAATTTAAAATTTGATCAAAAAATTAGATTCAATTTAAATAACTTCATTAATTAAAATTTAATAAATTATATTTAATTTTTTTAAAATAATTATTTAATTTTTTAATATTAAACAATTGGACTAAAGGGTAAAGCACTCATTCCCTCTCCATTGTTATGCATTTATTGTGGTGGGACCCTTGTTACTTTTATTTATTAAAGATTAGAATAGCTCGAAAGTATAGTAAAATCTAAATAATTTTGAGACAGATATCGAATGTTATGGAATACGTTTATTTTAAACTGTCGAATAGACTTATTAAAACTATCCTATTTTATATTATAAATTGAATAGATTTGAATCATCTCTATATATACTAATAAAAAATATATTATACAAGTCAAATGAAACTTAAAAAGTGCAATCTAAATTTATATTATTTATTAGATAAGTGTTTGATGAATAAGTCCTACTAAAAATATTGATTGGACTTACTCAACAAAAGGAAGATATACATTAGGGTTGTAACTTTTTAAATTTTATTTGAATTGCGTAGCATTTTTTACTAACAATGCACGTGTGATATACTTGAATAATAATTTTTGTATAAAAATTTAAATTATATGAGAATAATTGAATTTATAATAATAATAATAATAACTAAGAATAAAATTTTAAAAAAATTATATTAGTTATTCAATTGAATAATTAATTATATACTGAATAATTAATTTTTATTTTTATTATTGCTAAACTTAAACTATTGATCTATTTATTCCTTTTTGAGTACATAATCAGTCATTTTTAAGTATTCATCATCAGGCCTTTTAGGATTTTTTTTTTGTTTATAATGTAGACTCATTACATTATGAATTTCAAAGAAATTGATAACATTACAATACTATTATTTGTATTATAATATTTTTCATATACACAAAATAAAATATGACATTTATTTGAATATAAATTACATTTTACTTGGTCACATAAACATAGAGATAGATGACTTTAAAAGAATTTAGAAGTTAACTATGACTAAAAAGAGACCAAAATACTTGCCCAAAAAAAAAAAGAGTCCAAAACACTTATAACAAAAAGGTCCAAAAGAATCTAAAAGTTAAATAATTATACAAAATAGAAATCGAATAAAAGTAAATATGTAGGTATAATTAACTTTATAATAATAATTATAAATAAAATTAAAAATTAAAAAATTTTCACATGCTAACATTTATAAGTAGGGTATATTGATGGGTAAAATACGGTGACACTCCTCCTAGTTTCTAATAGTTTCACTAATCCCTTTTTTGTTTTTGAAATAGTATTAACATCCCTTGTGATGCAACAGTGTATAACAATTTCTCCCATCATCTAATTGACTTTTCGCACAATAAATGAATAAAAATAGATCATTTTCTTGGTGAACTCGTGTTTACCTCGAAAGTTGAAGGTCCCGTGACAAAGAAAGGCCAAAAGTGGCCTAAGGAGTAATGATGAATTATTTTAGGTGTTGTTCGATCGATACCGGCGAGTCGTAGGCAGTTCCTAGTACAAAAAGATGGATAAGAAGGATGCCGTAGTGTTTTTCGGTGTATCCCCTCTGACGGTCTAGTCAGTTTCTATGAGAGAAGGGGAGAAAACACTGTGCATGTTCTCATAATTGGATTTGTATACCTTTGATTTGAGCTTTAGAGAGCTATTTATACATTTCATGAAGGTCATCATTACTGATTAGTAGGTAGTAGGCAGTGCTCAGTTATTGGACAATACTCTCTCCATTTTGCAGGGACTAAGTTTAGGTATTAAATACTCAGCCTCTCGAGCATTTAATGCCCTTTCCCCCTGGTCTCCGAGTTTTTAATGTTCTTTCTTCAATACATAATCATTAAATGCTCAGGCTCTAGAGCATTTAATGTTCCTTCTTCTAGGCCTCTCAAGCCATCATGGACGTCACATCCTCTTAAGGATTTATTAAATGCCTCTCTGGGATGACTGCATGCCAACATGGATATTTCTGTCAATTTGCCCTTGATCCTGGACGTCATGCCATACTTCTAGCCCCCCTTGGTCGTTGGCTCTACTCACTCTGTCATTCTGACTTTATGGGGAAGATAAGTCAATGATTCTATGTCCACACTCTGAATCCCTTTTTTTGTTTTTGAAATAGTATTAACATCCCTTGTGATGCAACAGTGTATAACAATTTCCCCCATCATCTAATTGACTTTTCGCACAATAAATGAATAAAAATAGATCATTTTCTTGGTGAACTCGTGTTTACCTCGAAAGTTGAAGGTCCCGTGACAAAGAAAGGCCAAAAGTGGCCTAAGGAGTAATGATGAATTATTTTAGGTGTTGTTCGATCGATACCGGCGAGTCGTAGGCAGTTCCTAGTACAAAAAGATGGATAAGAAGGATGCCGTAGTGTTTTTCGGTGTATCCCCTCTGACGGTCTAGTCAGTTTCTATGAGAGAAGGGGAGAAAACACTGTGCATGTTCTCATAATTGGATTTGTATACCTTTGATTTGAGCTTTAGAGAGCTATTTATACATTTCATGAAGGTCATCATTACTGATTAGTAGGTAGTAGGCAGTGCTCAGTTATTGGACAATACTCTCTCCATTTTGCAGGGACTAAGTTTAGGTATTAAATACTCAGCCTCTCGAGCATTTAATGCCCTTTCCCCCTGGTCTCCGAGTTTTTAATGTTCTTTCTTCAATACATAATCATTAAATGCTCAGGCTCTAGAGCATTTAATGTTCCTTCTTCTAGGCCTCTCAAGCCATCATGGACGTCACATCCTCTTAAGGATTTATTAAATGCCTCTCTGGGATGACTGCATGCCAACATGGATATTTCTGTCAATTTGCCCTTGATCCTGGACGTCATGCCATACTTCTAGCCCCCCTTGGTCGTTGGCTCTACTCACTCTGTCATTCTGACTTTATGGGGAAGATAAGTCAATGATTCTATGTCCACACTCTGAATCCCTTTTTTTGTTTTTGAAATAGTATTAACATCCCTTGTGATGCAACAGTGTATAACAATTTCCCCCATCATCTAATTGACTTTTCGCACAATAAATGAATAAAAATAGATCATTTTCTTGGTGAACTCGTGTTTACCTCGAAAGTTGAAGGTCCCGTGACAAAGAAAGGCCAAAAGTGGCCTAAGGAGTAATGATGAATTATTTTAGGTGTTGTTCGATCGATACCGGCGAGTCGTAGGCAGTTCCTAGTACAAAAAGATGGATAAGAAGGATGCCGTAGTGTTTTTCGGTGTATTCCCTCTGACGGTCTAGTGAGTTTCTATGAGAGAAGGGGAGAAAACACTGTGCATGTTCTCATAATTGGATTTGTATACCTTTGATTTGAGCTTTAGAGAGCTATTTATACATTTCATGAAGGTCATCATTACTGATTAGTAGGTAGTAGGCAGTGCTCAGTTATTGGACAATACTCTCTCCATTTTGCAGGGACTAAGTTTAGGTATTAAATACTCAGCCTCTCGAGCATTTAATGCCCTTTCCCCCTGGTCTCCGAGTTTTTAATGTTCTTTCTTCAATACATAATCATTAAATGCTCAGGCTCTAGAGCATTTAATGTTCCTTCTTCTAGGCCTCTCAAGCCATCATGGACGTCACATCCTCTTAAGGATTTATTAAATGCCTCTCTGGGATGACTGCATGCCAACATGGATATTTCTGTCAATTTGCCCTTGATCCTGGACGTCATGCCATACTTCTAGCCCCCCTTGGTCGTTGGCTCTACTCACTCTGTCATTCTGACTTTATGGGGAAGATAAGTCAATGATTCTATGTCCACACTCTGAATCCCTTTTTTTGTTTTTGAAATAGTATTAACATCCCTTGTGATGCAACAGTGTATAACAATTTCCCCCATCATCTAATTGACTTTTCGCACAATAAATGAATAAAAATAGATCATTTTCTTGGTGAACTCGTGTTTACCTCGAAAGTTGAAGGTCCCGTGACAAAGAAAGGCCAAAAGTGGCCTAAGGAGTAATGATGAATTATTTTAGGTGTTGTTCGATCGATACCGGCGAGTCGTAGGCAGTTCCTAGTACAAAAAGATGGATAAGAAGGATGCCGTAGTGTTTTTCGGTGTATCCCCTCTGACGGTCTAGTCAGTTTCTATGAGAGAAGGGGAGAAAACACTGTGCATGTTCTCATAATTGGATTTGTATACCTTTGATTTGAGCTTTAGAGAGCTATTTATACATTTCATGAAGGTCATCATTACTGATTAGTAGGTAGTAGGCAGTGCTCAGTTATTGGACAATACTCTCTCCATTTTGCAGGGACTAAGTTTAGGTATTAAATACTCAGCCTCTCGAGCATTTAATGCCCTTTCCCCCTGGTCTCCGAGTTTTTAATGTTCTTTCTTCAATACATAATCATTAAATGCTCAGGCTCTAGAGCATTTAATGTTCCTTCTTCTAGGCCTCTCAAGCCATCATGGACGTCACATCCTCTTAAGGATTTATTAAATGCCTCTCTGGGATGACTGCATGCCAACATGGATATTTCTGTCAATTTGCCCTTGATCCTGGACGTCATGCCATACTTCTAGCCCCCCTTGGTCGTTGGCTCTACTCACTCTGTCATTCTGACTTTATGGGGAAGATAAGTCAATGATTCTATGTTCACACTCTGAATCCCTTTTTTGTTTT